ACTAGGAGAAGCTGGCATTTCCTGAAGAAACCAAAATTGGATAGATGTTTTGGTAAGGATTGAAGATAGGGTATTGATTCCAAGAAAGCTGAAACATAAGCACACTAAGACTCCTCTTTGAGTTTCAGAAAGCAGGAGTTCTTTATTACGCGTGGGGAGTCCCCAGGATCATTCCTTGGGAGGACTCCAATTTCCCGTTACAAAGTGGTTGTTTATCTGCTACCTATTCATACATCTTCATGAGATATCTGAGAACTCATTAATACAAAGTGGGGATTCCTCCAAAAATCATTAGCATACAACCCCTCCTATTTGGGCATTTGCTCTATGACCCTCTGGTGGTCTTTGGGGGTCGTAGGGGAGGAAGGCTCATGGTCTTCAGGATGAAGGCTTATTGTCTTCATCACTGTAATTGTTTCACCTTTCTTGCAGAAGCAGATGTATTTTGTCACTTACTCTGCTAATTGGGCATTATCAGCACTATTTCTCTAAGCATCGTTGGCTTCACAAACACAGGATACCTATATTTCATCCCTGGACATTCCTAGATAGGGTCAGTAGGACAGACAAAGGGGTTTCTGTTCAATCGAGGGATACCATTTATCTTTATGATTTATCTTCACAGAATGTGCTCTGGCCTTCTGCTTATCAGTGGGATTGCTGAGACTGCAACTGAGTCTCACAAAGGTCCTACAAGCAGCAATTTTAACCCCTTTCTCAGTATTCGTAGCTAAAGCTGCTCTTCACACTGAACAGGGAGAACTGTCTTGAAAAAACAGGGCCAAATTACGTTCTTCTTTGTGTTTCTCTTATGAAACTGGTTTTACTTTACAATAGAGAAAGAGTGCCCTTGGGGACAGAATGAAGAAAAAACATATGGGAAGTTGTATAATTCGTTTCCTCTCATAGTTTTTTCCCAGAGAATAGACTTATTTTTAGTCCTTTTAATTTTCTGTCACAACTCCTTTCTTAGGTTTCCTTAATTATTTCCTGTTGCTGTTAATACAGCTGTTCATTTTCCATCACTACTATTGTTACCATCTTCCCTGATATATGCCATTCGTAACTTAGTATACCTCTGAAGTTAACTGGTTAATTTAACAGAGTTATTGTTAAATGAATATTAAATTAAATTAAATATTATTATTAATGGTTTCTCAGGTCTGCAGAAGTGTATTAGCATTTTCTGTAAACATTTTCTGTTTTGGCTAAGCAATCGTTTTCCTTTATACTCATACAATCTCTAACATAATGAGGTTCTGGACAGTGATTTAGGCTCTCATCAGTCAGAGAAAAGGTAGTATAGAAAGATGAGGCTGAAGTTTTCTGTGCTCTGAGACTCATCTGATGAATACTGTAGGTCCACAGCAGTTGGGGCTGCCACCAGAATAAGCAGCAATGTCCATACTGTGGTGGGAGATGAAGGGAATTATTTTCTATGGCAGTGCTATTTTATGTTGGTTTAAAGTATTTTCAGGGTGATGATTTGAGGCAGTCTGAATATGGGGGTATTCCCACTGATGTCAGTTACAGCATTTCTAAACTGTGTGATGATCCAAAGCACATAGACCCACTGCAGTAAAAATTTATGTAGTATTTCCAGCTGGGAAGATAGGCAGGGGGAGCTAAACTTACTTGACAAAGCAAGGAAACTTGTATTTGGTATGTGTGCAAAATATGATCTATGTGATGATGAGGATACAAGTCAGATATGGTCAAAATCAGTCACAAGAGGCAGCAGAGTGGCAGGTAGATTCCTCCTGTACCTGCCTGTTACACCTTCAGTACTGACAGCTTCACTCCAGTGAAATCGAGTAGTAGTGTTTCTGTAGTGTGCACAGTGGGATATTACCCACAACTGGGTTGATAACAAATATACAGCGCTGAAATGATGTTTAGAAAAGAACTCTGTTAGAAAAGAAGCTTGTGGTGAAGTTAACTGACCTCTAAATACAGGACTATTTATCAATACATACAGCTGAGATTTGAAAACGTACGCTATGCTTTTCCAGTCCAAACTGCTAGTGGAAAAAAACAACAAACAAACAAAAAACTCAACCCACAGGCCTGAGGCTTTATAATGCTGATGTTGGGACTGCCATGCTGTGTTCCTAAAACCATAACTAATATTATTGCTTGTCTGTTTTGCTAATGACTTTTGAGCTCTGAGAGTCGCTGTCATTAAGAGCCGAAGGCATTCCCTGTTTGAAAATAGTTATATGACCTGTATTTTTGCTACAGAGAGTTTCTGCCCAAGTGGTACAAGTTTAAGTGTGGTGGGTTTAGTGGTTGTTTTTTTTAAAGATTTATTAAATTATGTAAACTAGTAATTTGGTTTAGTCCACATTTTAATATATTTTGATAGGAACAAAAGGCTATTTCCTTTCCCTGTTCAATGCTATGGCCCAATGAAAACAGGCTGTATACATGGAGCAGGTATTTACCTCAGACTGGGATGTTACATGTCAGACAGATGCTGTTGCCATATCTAAATAAATATGTGGTTTATTTCCTTATTTCTATTTGAATCAGTCTCCTGTGAGGTGGAAACTGAAATTCAAATGATGTTCTCAGTATGTCCTTTATGATTAGCTCATAATGTTGGATGCTGTGCTATGTGTTTTATTTTGGATTTTTTCCCTATGGCTTGTAGAAGTAGCTACAAAATCATTAGTCATTCTCCATAAAGCTATCACTGGTAGTTACATGGTTTGATGTAGGCAAATCCAGTGTTCCTGTGAAAGCTGTGGCTGTTTTGAAAAATCACTCTTAATTTCAGAGTTTATAATTCACTTGGGCTGTTGTGTCAGGTGCTCTGCACTGCATGATCAGGGAGTTAGGAAAATTATTTGTAGGCTACCATTGCCAAGGCATACTCGCACCATCTCTCTGCCTCCCAGAATATATCCAGCTCCCAGCTCTTGGGTGATGGATGTCATGGATGTGAGGCCTTGACTGAGCCAGGTACAAAGGATAACTCGATGGAAGAGGAAATTAGGGTCTAGAGCTGTGTCACAAGAGAAGTTGAGTGGAGACAGGATGGCAAAAGCACCCAGTGCCAGTGTGAGCTGAATAGAAGGGAATTAATGGGTCCTGGAGCTAAGGTGGGAAAATGGAAAATGGTTTTAAATCACAAGTGAAAGGAGTTGACAGGGGAAAGTGAGAAGGCAAGAGAGGTCTATAGTTATGTGAGAAAAAAGAAGGGTTTTCTTGTAGTAGGCATATTCATTCTTTTTGTTTGTCTGTTCCAATTTCAAAACATAAGGAGATTTTCTTTTAATTTTGTTTATTAGTTGTGTTTGCAAAGCAGTATTTACAACCTTAATAAAAACAGAACCAAAGTGGGAGTTTAAATCTGAAGCAGTGACATCAGGTCATAAAACTTTTCAGCATAAAAGCTAATAAAGAGCTTTATTTCCCAATTTTCACTTCACTTCCCAGTTTTTACCTGGGAATTTAAGAGGCTGGAGTAGTGCAGCAGCAAGTCAAGATTTATGTGACATGATGAAACGTAGGTAACAAACCAAAATTATCTTTCATAACAAGAAGGAATTTTAAAATTCTTAGAGGAATCTGATGTAGTCTCTGTTCTCATGACTGATATAGATATTAGGACTGCTACTGTATGGCACAGGAGGGAGATACGTTGTGGGAGAGGAATTTTGATAGCTCATGCTTTCAATCAGTAATGTTTGTGTGCTGATGATCTACAGCAGACTGCCTCTCTTTTTATTAAGTTACTGTAACGTGGTAAGGCTTTTCTCTGTTGGGAGTCAGTTTGAATGAAAGACCAACACTGACTCTGGGACTTAGAAATCTAGGACATGTATAATCATTCTTTGTTCAATTTACATCAGAGCGGAGGTGATAGAATTCATACTTACTTCATTCTTCATGCTTATTCCAGAATAGATGAGAAAACATGATGCTTCAAAAGCTGCAGAATAGCACATGTAATAAAATACTTTTTAAGGGAACTCACTGACTCTGCCAGCTGGGAGATGATGCTACAGGTACGATCAAATCTCTGTCATGAAAGTCCTAGTAAGTAGTACAAGATATCACAGGGCAAATAGAATGTCTCTGCAGTACACTGAAGAGAAAAAGGTCTGCTTTTATATCAGAGGTGCTAATTAGTCGGTTTTTATCTTTAATTTTAGGCTGTGCTAAATTAAACCTCTGACTATGCATGTGCTATCTCCTGCTATTCATTCTTCTATTTACGTATATCCTTTGCCTTTGTGTGTGTGTGTGCTTCCATTTCCTGGGCTGTCAGTGTGAATGAGTCACTTTGACAGTCACGTTTCACATTTTCTAAAGCGGTCTGGTTTTGGCTGCTACCAGAAATGCAAGCTTTTATTTTGCTTTTTCCAGTTAGCTACTTAGAGATAAATACCATGCTGAAGAAATGTTTGCTTCTAAACATTCTGGTAACTATAGAATTTGGTGTTGAACAGACTGCTAACTAAAAAAAACCAAAACAAACCCCAAAAACCTAAACGTATATATACATAAGAAGTCTGACTCCAGCAGCTGCAAATTGATTGGAGAACACACGAGTGTTATACTTGTTTATCTTCAGCAAAAAATAAAATTATCTTGAGAGCTTTCTTGTATTTCTGTTTTTAGGAGGCAGAACAGAAAAGGGATAGTTGTAAGACCAGGTAATAAAGATCTACTACTGGGAACTTCCTCGATTACTTGTGGTCTGCTTTGTCTACTGTATTCCAGCCTGTGGGAGGCTAATGGCATAATTCACAAATGCAAGCATTTAATTAAATCAGTAAATAAACCAGTGTCAGTTATTACATAGACTTTTGATCTCCTTTGTCAAGTAACTTACATGTTGTCTGTTACAGATATAAAAATGTCTCATTCAAAAGGTAGTTACTTTAGGAAAAGTAGAGTGCCAGTTCCTAAGGAAATGTATTAGAAATTTAGGAAACTTTCATTAAGAATTTGATTGAAGTGCATGTTGTCATTTTTGTTACACAGGAAAGATGAAAGGAAGAAAGCAAGCATGTTCCTTACCTTTAACCTTTATCTTGCTGTTCCTCTGTGTCACTGGGCATGCAACTACTGACTTAGGTGACGATGAAGAAGAGGATGTTCTGGGTAAGAGGTTACAAAAATGACACCTAAAACTATCTCAAATGTTAAAAGGCACTGTAGATGTAATTCTAGCTGAGAATTTTTCTGGGAAACTTTTGGAAGTGGAACTAAGCTAAAAATGCACTGGTTTCTAACTAACAGGGAGATGCTCAGAATTTTGCATTAAGCTCTAGCAAAAATGCCTTCTATAATGGCTTCTGTTTCCCAGGCTTTTTGGAAATTAAGTAAGGTGGATCAAACTTCTATACTGGATATCACTGCAAAAGATATTTTAATTTCCTCCCAAACAATTTTGAGAAAAGCAGATGAGGCAAAAATGCACTTTTTGGGCTGTACTAAAATATTCTTCCTTCCTTTGAGAAAATTATTTAAAACTGCACTCTTTCTTAAGCTGCAGAGAACTATGTGGGGGATACTTATTCCTTTTGAGAGGCCTGGTTTTGAAGCCTGACTGGGAATGTAGCAAAGGGGAACCTTTATGTTTTTTTTATGTTGGCATTCTACTTAATCTGCCCGTGTCTTGTCCAATTTCCGTCCAGATTATTTCTGTCTATCAGTCTTTTGCAGCAGTGTTCCTTGAGACAAAAATATTAATTGTGCACAATCATGGCTATACTACTGTCATGGTTTATACAGTTGCTCTGTCACCTGATGCCTCCTCCTCACCCAGGGAGGGGGGTCAGGAGAAGGAAAGGTGATTCATGAGATGAAATAGAAATATATTGCAACAACAGCAACACAGAGCAACAACACAATTCAGCCAATATTGTGGGGGAGTAGGCCTCAGAGTTGGGATGGTAAAAAAGGCCCTCTTAAGATGTCAGCCATGGAAGAGGGAGCAGGAGGGAGAGGAAGAGGCAGAGAAAGGCCATCTCCAGCAAACTCTTCAACTTATAGTGAATGTCATGTTGATGGTATGAATAGCATTAACTGGTCAGCCTGTGGTCACCTTGGGGTTGGCTCCCCTAGGTTTCCGCTCCCCCCCAGCCTCTGCATCTGTTTATCTCAAGACCTTGAGCACTATGGCAACCTGCATTCCAGTATTAGCTGAAACCCATAACAAAGTTGTTATCAACTTTGTTCCCATGAAGAAGAGTGTCATGGTCCTTACAAAACTGCAGCTTTCCTCAACAGAAAACTGACTTCAGAATTCTGTCCCACTAAACCAGGACAGCTATGAAGCTAGTGCTGCAGTGACAATTAGTTACTACAATTTAAGATATGCACCATTCTGCATTAAGCATATGCTTAGCAGGGTTGTGTAGTCAAGACTGCTTCATACAGAGTACATTTTTCTCTCTTTAATCCTGAAGTACATAAATGCCCCTCTTGTTTGAGGGCAAAGTCACATTTATCTTTGCTCTACCCTGCAACTTTTAGACGAAGGTTTCTTATAAAACTGAGTTTGCAGTTCATGAAGGCCAAATTGTCTTGCTTATTAAAATAACAACCTCATTGCCAGAACAAGAAATCTGCTGGATTAATTTTTTTCCTTTGTTTACTTACTTTGTTTACAAAAGATAGTAAGAAATAATCTTTAGGAAATTAAATAGTATTCTTACTGGGCATTATTTTATCACTGATTGTTTTATGACCAGTCATTTAAGATTATATAACCAGTAATTGATTTTGTATGAGGAACAGTTCTGAACTTTTGAGCTTGTATTCCAAAGTAAAAAACAATCAAATGTGATGCTTAGAAATTAAACTAAGACCCTGTTTTTGTGACTGCTGAAGACTCAGTTGCAGTGTATACAAAAACTATTTTTGCAGTACTCTATTTCTATAAAAATGTTAGATAGTTGCTAATTAAAATTATATTTGTAGTTTCTTAAGAATGAAATTCCGGTCTCAGTGAATTTAACCGTAGAAATTTTGTAGGCTACAATTTCACTGATAGCATTTATTTTCTGGGTTAGATAGTTATAAAACACTGACATATTTTACCCTAGAATTAAATGAATTTCAGGTATTTATTAAAGGATAAAATAAGTTGTGTGCATTCATTATTTGTAATGTCATACTTTTGGATCACATTGGGTATAAGTGCTTTGTGACTCTAAGAAGGGGTTTTTTTGTGCATTAGTATTTAAATAACAGTAATAATTAAGGTTGCAAGTCACGTCCAATGGAATAAAAAAGATTCTTAATTTGTTCTCTTCTGGCAAGAACTGTGTTTTTTTCCACCAATAAATAAGGATGATGAGAAAAAGAAAAGAAATAAAAATAAATAGTTTATGTATATTGTTCGGTAATACCTCATGTAGTTGGGAGCACTTTAGTTGATGTTCCAGAGCCTGAAGAAAATGAATCACAAGTTGAATGTGCTTTTTATTCATATGTGAAAGTTTATCAGGAATAAATGTAACTGCTTAAAGAAACAGGAGTGGGAAGAGCATGGAACAGTGTGTGAGTGGAAAGCTGTCAAAGTGACAGAGATGGAGAGAGAAGAAACAGGTATTCATTAGTGACAAGGTGCTTAGTATTGATATTATTTATCAAAGAGACACATTTACATGAAAGCCTGGAAAGATGACAGCATATCTTTATAATTAAGGACAACCACATAAACTCATGTAAGGTTGAGAACCCATAACCTAAGAAAGCAAAACCAGAAAGTATTTTACATAAGAAGTCAGAAATATTCCTGACCACGTTTTATTTTCCCAATTTAATTTATTTGTTCTTAAAAGCAACTGTTCAATAATACTGTTCTCTTTCATATCTATTGTGCTATAGGTATAATACAGAAATCAGTTGAGTTTTTAATTAAGAAGATGCATTTTTAACAACCAGCCCTGCAGATTATCCTTAAAAGTCTGAAAGTCAAGTTAGTCTCTTGTACTATGTCTGCAGACGGGGGAAACAAGTATTGTTTTTACTTGTATTCATGTATGAGGATTAGAGACATTACTCACCACTTCTGCTTTCATAATATTATATTGCTTACTAGTAAAGTGGTAACACTGATTTGCACTGATCATATAAGGTCCATGTGCTCAGGGCTACAGCATGACTAACTGCGGATTATTACAGCAGAGCTCTAACAATGAAATTACCACGTTAGTTGATAGTAGCTGTTCATGTGTTAAACAGCCATGTCTTGAGTTACAAAAGTTGACATGTGAGTGACAATAAATGTGAGAATGGCTGTGCTGTGTGCAAAGAGTCTTGGCTGTATCCTGTTTCTGGCAGTTGCCAAAAGAAGGGAAACTGAAGGAATGGAGGAAGAAGGCAGTGACATATCTGCACTAAACTCCTCTTTGTGAGCCATTTCATCAGCATTACTTTGCACTTACCAGATAGTAGGGAGTGGAAAGATCACTAAGACAGAGCAGCAGACACTTGGTGCCTTCTGTTATGAAAACATATGTAGCTGATGTAACAGAATCAGTAAATTAAAAATTCAAGGAGTGGGAGGGGAAAGGAGAGGAGGTTTTGCTTTGCTTTATTTTGTTCTTAGTATGCTAAGTAATCACTTGTGTGTGACAGTGAACATCAGTTGTAACCATTACTTAATGTATTTCTGGCAAAACAAACTCCATTTTATTGGTCTAGGGTAGTACAGTCCTATAATTCTATAGATTTTTCTAAGTTTATTTGGACCAGATACCTAAATTGGATGAGTGATAAATATCCAGCAGGGCTAGATCCAATGTGAAGGATTTAATTAATTTTCTTTTTAAAACAACAAATGCAACATACTTAAGAAAAAGAGTCAGTGCATTCATAAATATAAGGTAGAAAATAGCACCTATATGACAACGTTATATTTGCTGAAAAGAAAGTGGAAGTTGCAGTACATTACAAAAATAATGTGATGTTGTTGTAAAAAAAGGCGAGTAATTTGTGATGTATTAAGAGAAAAAACCAAAGGATAATTATTCCACTCACTCTGGCACCAGTGATCCCTCAGACAGAGGATTGTATTCAGCTCTGGGCAGCACGCTTTAATAGTGATCCTGACCAATAGGAAAAGATGTGAGGGAGAGTTTTAAGAGAGTTAGAAAGTAAGGCCAATAAGAAGATTGGAAGAAGGAAGTTTAGAATAGAGAGAATTAAGAGGAGACAAAAGACTTCTGAAAGAGAGAAGAAAGACTGGTTGGTTTTAAATTATTCTGTCAATGCCTGAAGGAAGTACAAAAATATTTAATATGTAATAAAGAATATTTAGGCTGTATATTACAAAAAAAGGCCCGTCTTGCAAGATGGATAGGGAAATCCTGGAACTGTCTGCTTCAGTTTGCTGGGAATTTTACTTCACTGGAGTATTTTAAGAACAGTTTGGACATCTGTCAGAAAAAGTCTCAGGTTATTTATTCCACAGAAATTTGCTGAAAGTTGAATGAGAAACTCCATTAAAATTCCTTCCAGTGTTAACTCCCCATGTTTCTATCGAAGAATACTCACTCACCTTCTTGACAAACAGCTGCCCTAAATGTCATGTCCTGTGCATTTCACACAGGACCTAAAATGTACTAGGAACAATTTGTTCAAATGCTTAAGTAGGCCTTATACTAAGAATTAGTTTTTCTCAAGGTGTATTTCACATGTGCAATGAGAACAACCAGATCTGTATCTGTGCAGATCTACTGGCCAAGTATTCACGCTTGCCTTCTCATCTGCTGCTCTAATCAGAGAAGGAAAGCTAATTTGATATCGTCTGTGTAAGTGTTCCCAGGTGTAAAATAATGGGGAAGAATTCTTTCACTGTTCACAGACACAAGAATTATTCAGTTCCCATTAATCCCTTTGAAACTTCTTTCTTCAGAGTCACTTGGTTATTGACTTTGATAGTGTTCTTCTTCACAATATATATGACAATTTTTACAAAACATTCCCTGACCTAATAATGTATATTGAAAGACATAGAAATTACACGATTTGAAAAGATAAAATTTCTTTTTCCTTAACTTTCTAGTTGAGTCCTTCTCAGCTCTTGAAAGCTGTAATGGAAGAAAAGCAAGATCAAAGACAACCAGACAGCATGAGGACCGTTCAATTGTCCCGGATGGGTTCCTGTAACAGTGCAGTGTCATCTGACAGGGGAATGGTGCCCTCTGCAGGGTTGTCTGCTTAGGTCGTCCCGCACTGTTTGCTGTATGTCTTCAGGCGCTATGTTCGTATTAGAAGTGCATGGAAGAGAGCACAAGGAGCCCTCTTTCTGTCTTTTTTATGCAGGGTTAGTCCTTGCGTCTTAGGGAGCAGCTAGGATTTTCTCTGGCTATTTGCTGTTCAGAATTGTTCTGAACAGCTCCTGTGACTAAGCCCCTATCCATAGCTATTTAGAGATTTATGATGAGTTAAAGTTTATAATATGAGGTGTTTTAGTTGAAAATAGAAACCACACATTTGGTTTGACTGAATGGAGTTTGTGTTCCAAAGCAGATGGTGAATTTCTTTTTGCAACTGTGTTTAGTGTGTTCAGAGCTCTGCAGCTGGAAGTTATGCGGTGCCTCTCTAGCAGAAGACACGAACAATCTCATTTTGAAGTTATGCTGTGCAGTGAAGCAAACTAATTTAATAACAGTTATTCTACTTCTCCTCTTTATTACAGTTGCTGCTTTGCCACCACTGAAACTAGGGCATTCAGTTTGTGGCATGAAAGCAGATGAAGGTCCCTGCAAAGCAATCCACATGCGCTATTACTTCAATATTCAAAGCCGTGAGTGTGAAATATTCGAATATGGTGGATGCCATGGCAATAAGAACAACTTTGTAACACTGGAAGAATGTCAAAAGAAGTGTGTGGTAACAGGCCAGTACCCATTCTCTTATCCTCCTATCAGTTCTTCATTTGCATCTGGTATTTCTCATCCAAAAACCATACGAATTTTGGAAGTAGAGGACCTCTTCAGTTCCTACTCTATTAAGTAGCACAATGCCTCTAATTATGTTCCCAAGTATTATACTGTGTTGTAGCCATCTGAGTTATTTTACATTGTGCGAGCAAACATTCAGGATTTGGAAAGGTAAGTGTGACTTCTTTTAGTGGACCTGTGGAATAGAGAGACCAATGCAAGAAAGTTTATTTTCTAGCTAGCGCCCTGTTTTGAATGAGTTCTTAAAGTGAAATTGCTTTTGGGCTGGGCTAAGCTGGTGGGCAGTACAACTGTTCTTTATTGCTTTCACAGTATTTAACCCAATTTTCGATCCCAAGTTTCTCCTTCACTTGAGAAGCTGATACAAGCTGTCCAAAATCTTGGACATCTGCTACGATTCAACCTCATTAGAACTACAGTAGTGAATAATTCTCATTAAAAATATCAGTTATAGCTGTTTGTCATAAAAAATCTGTTTTGTTTCTTGTGATCAATATTTGCCACTTGAGGGGAAAAAAATACTTTTAAGAGGAGTTTACATATATGCTCCATTGTTTACTGGATATGAGTAGAAGCAAAAATGTCGTAGCACAAAGGTCCTAATTTTCAAGGCAGTAAATATATTATCTTAGGCTGCGTAAGCTTCTAACATGGAAACATACCTACTGATAAAAGATTCTGGACATGACGGCAATTCGAATGTCTATTATTTATGCAGCAAATCTACTCAGAAATACAGTTTGTTTACAAAGAAGTAATTAATAATAATAAAAATTAATAATGCACACAACGTAGGCATTAAGCAGGAGGAACTGGAAGCCACTGTGCATTGAGGTAACTATGATATAGTTGCTTCACATGTCTGGTTTTGCTGAATAGTTTTTATTTACTTGTATTGCAGAATTGCCTCAGAAGATGATGTTGGCAAAAATCGAGAAAGGTAATTATGTTTACATGGTAATCTAAGACTCTTATACAATGATAAGAGATTTAGCTTCTTTTGATAAATTCTTTATGTATTGTTCCAAGCTATCTCCTAATAAAGACAAGAATGTCAGACTAAAGTGAGTTCTAATTCCCAGACTTCTTCTGTAATCATCAAAGACTTTGAGGACAATTGTGGCCACTGAAGATAGTAGCTGCAATCTCTTCTTCCCAAAATAAACGCATCGTGACACTTTTTTTCTCTTTCTTCAATAAAGAGAAAAGAAGGACACTCTAGAGATTCCAGCATTATACAATTAGCCATTATGTGGAATTCTTATTGTGTGTTTTGAGAATAATCTAAATGGTTCCTCCACTCCACCTGTTGTTTTCCTCCTGTTCTAGTTTAAAACCATTACCCTTCATCCTATCACTACATGCCCTAGTGGACAGTTCTCCCCCAGCTTTCTTATAGGCACCTTTCAGGTATTGGAAGGTCGCTATAAGGTCCCCTCGGAGCCTTCTCTTCTCCAGGCTGAACAACCCCAACTCTCTCAGCCTGTCTTTGTAGGAGAGGTGCTCCAGCCCTTTGATCAGATTTGTGTCCTCCTCTGGACCTGCTCCAGCAGTTCCATGTGCTTTTTGTGCTGGGGACTCCAAAGCTGGACACAGTATTCTTCATGACCCTTCTCTTCAAAAGTGGCTGTAGAAGTTAGCTATGAGCTCAACTTATTTTGACCAAATTCCCCTTTTTTTGCAAGAACTATTTTAATATAAGGATTTTCTAAATTAAAACCAGCTGTCTTTAAGAATTAGTCATAATCCTGAAGTCTTACTTTACATACCCTTATTATTACCCACCTTCCTTTCTCAGTTATTATCTAATAATCTTTTTCTGTTATTTCACAGTATTTTGCAGTGTTTCATGAACATTGTAGCTCCTATTGTCTGTAAGCTCCTACTAGATGCTATTTGGAACCGATAACCACTCTGGCAGATTCTTGCCTGTTACCTATCTATATAAGTCTCGCTTCCATTCTCAGCTGAAAGCATAACGTATGCCTTGCCCATAGCTTTCGTATTCGTTGGTCTATGTGAGCTTAGTTTTGTAAATCCTGAACGTCAATAGGTGCTGCATTTGAATAGTAAGAAACATGAAACATCTGAACAGCAGAATACATATACTTATTGGCAGAGAATGCAATTTGTAGTGCAAAACCAAAATTAGCTATCCATTATTGCTTAAAATAGTTAATTTTGTTACTTGATGCAAGAACATTTTAGATAATATTATAATATAAATACAACATTATAATATTCTATTTAACGTTATTGTATTATATTTTAACGAGGCACTGATGAGGATGCACCTCAAATACTGTGTTCAGTTTGGGGCTCCTCACTACAAGAAGGGCATTGAGGTGCTGCAGGGTGTCCAGAGAAGGGCAATGGAGCTGGTGAGGGATCTGGAGTCTTACGGGGAGTGGCTGAGGGAACTGGGGTTGTTCAGCCTGGAGAACAGGAAGATGAGGGGGGACCTTCTTGCCTTCACTGTTTTAGTCTCAGTATTCCATTACGTTTCACAGTAAGAAGGCCTTTATATGTCACATCTGATATGATTGTCTTATATCATAGCTAAATACACTTTTCTCTGCAAGTCAGCTCAATCAAGAATTGTATTTCAAAAGTAGCTACTAGCAAGGATTTGAGAATACCTCAATTACAGTTAATTAGTTTTTCCATGATCTTCTTTTAAGATTATAAGTTTGAAAAATAAATTGAATATTGTGAGAAATTTACATTTGGAGATTATTGTATGACTGGTTTTTTCCTTTGCCAGAAGCCATGATATCATGCTTTGATATTCAGTCAAATTATATAGCATTCATTTGTTATCTTCTTGTTGGTTGATATTGTACTTACTGATCGCAAAATAGGAACGGGGATCGAAAAATAACTGTTAGACTGGCTGCTCTTTCTCTAAGTTTCCTGTATCCTTTTATATCAGTAGACTAACCCAGACAAAGTGCAGTTAGATTTTTTTTTCTGTTCTTTTTTTTAAAAAATCATTTCCTTTTCTATTTTAACATTGCTTTCTGCATAATTCACACTAACATTGACTAAAACAGCTACATAAACTAAGAGAATGTGTACTTAGATTCAAATGATCCATCTGAGATTCAAGTTTTGTTTTAATTCACAGTAAAAACTAATTTTTATCTTAGAGCTTCAGTGTAGGACACTTAAAGGAATCATTAATCCTGGTTTTCCAAGATAAAACTTACTGGCCACTTGAAAAGAGAAAAAAAGCAATAAAAATGTCCCTATGATTCTCCAGCATAATATTGCAGTGCTATATACAGAACAACAGCAGTACAATAAAGAAGCAGTTATTTTACAGTTGGTCTTTAGTCCAGAGTTACAGGTTTATTTTATAAATTTCCTCCAGTTCTGTGGTGGTCTTGGAATATGTGTTGATTTTTCTTCTTCCCCCACCTTGTTCATCATCTACCATTGTTTGTAGAAAAGCCCAGCTTCTGCTTTCAGAAGAGAGACCCTGGAATCTGCCGAGGCTATTTTTCCAGGTATTTCTATAACAAAGAAACAGAGTTATGTGAAGTATTCAAGTATGGTGGGTGCCTCGGAAACCAGAACAACTTCAGGAATTTGGAAGAATGCCAGAGTACCTGCCAAGGCAACTGTAAGCTGCTGTTCTCATTATTTTTAGTTCTGTTCTTGTATAAACAATGTTGTGTTTTAAAGGTATCTCGCATGGAAGAAAAGGCAACTTACGGTACTGAGGTGGCAGTAATTTATATCTGAAATTAACATCAATTATATGTACTTTTCAACAAAAATACAAAAATGAAAAATGTAAACTAAGAAAAGCCTGGTAGATACTATTAATTTTAATGAGTATTATAGGCCTCCTCCTTTTTTCACTTTTCTCATGACAGTTAATTTCCTGCATATATGTTAATTCTACGACCCCCTGCAAAATATATATTAAATGTCTGTGTAAGAAAGAGCACAATATTAATGTCTAGAAATCTGCATACTAAGTTGAAACAAATAGTGCGTCATCTCGAATTTGAAACAGAATGTTAGAAGCAATACAGGCAGATGAAGTAATTAAGTTAACATCAATTTCAACTCAAGAGGGGATTAGGTCCACAATGAGTACTGTTTCCTGGCTGTACCTTGGCATTTCTCCATTAAACTTGCCGTTAGGGGAAAAAAACTATAAGCACATTTTCTGGAACAGAAATTTGGGGCAATTTGGTTTGAAATACATTGAAAAAATACTGGTGCCTACATTGATACACAGACTTTACAGTAATAGAGGTTATAATGACAGGGAATGAAGAAATGGACCTATTCTGGTTACAGCTAAATAAGTCTTTTTCTGTAATCTAAAATCTGCCAGCTGGTTGGCTTTATAATATCATAAAACATTAATACATAATTTTTTAACCCATACATCTGAACATACTCTTTTTCTAACCAAGTATTGTAATGAAAAGCGGTGCCAATATAGGAATTTCTGTTTTTGCTCTTTCCTTGTTGTGCATTGCTGGCTCTCCACCAAAGAATCATGGGAGACTGTCCCTCACTTCTAACTATTTAGCTGTGCATCTTAGGCTACAAAACAGCCATTTAAAATGACCGTAGACCATTCATTCACTTCCTCACTCTACTAATTCCTATGAATTGTTCTGTATCAGTATATAGTAACTTCCTAACTCCTTTCCCCTTCACAAAGTACTATTTCATTCATAGGACAAATATGTTTTCTCACCCTGAGCCTCCAAACCCTTCTGTCTTGCTTGTCACTAGTGGACCTTTTTCCCTGACTGTTTCAGTCTGTCATTCTGGCAAGGGGAACTTGAGCTTATTCACATTTAGAATAGGAAAGACCAAGTATGATTCTTTTACAGATATTTCTTTTTAATATATATACAAACCCATGTTCTTTCCCCCTATATTTGCTGAAGTGTTTCTTCCTTAGCTTCAACTTCACTTTTACTTTCTAGGCTAAAAGTTCCAGAATGCCTTTTTTTTCCCTGACTTTAATCTGAAATAACACCTCTGTGTAAATTTGTATGAATAGCCAAGAACAAAGAGGGGATTAGAGGCCATTGCCATGGTTTATATAGATGAAAGTGTTAACCTTAGTGTCATTGATACCAATTGGTTTTTGTGGGGTTTTTTCCTCATTGCTTTCCTTTCATTTTTCTTTTAGCAAATTTATTGCAAACTGTTCCAGCCGAAGAGCAGCCTAACACTGTGAACAGTAGTTCCGCAGTGAATGAACCCAACTGGTTTCCTGGGATTTTTTGTAAGAATTTGCTTTAACTGTTTATATTTATCCTTTTTTAATACAGATGCTCCTTGGCTTGTCCACTCATTTTCCTGTTTAATTGAAGATATGTGTGTTAGTTGAGATACATAAGTACATCAAAACTAGCTTCATAGCCGTTTTGTTGTCAGTAATACATATTTTGAAAAAGGCTTACAGTTGCAAAGGTTAGAATGCTAGTATCAAAATCACATTATGTTTGATTTAAATCTTTCATCAGTAAAATGAAAGAAGAAAAAGGAATCCATCCCAAAGTTGCCTCAACACACCAGTTTCCAATCCCTTTCAGACTTAGGAAATGCTGCCTTTTAGTGCTGTTAACACTGGCATAGAGCAAGGCAAATGAGTACCAGTCATAGCCTATTTTCAGAGCTTTGTTGTGTCTACATAACCTGTCACTTACTGTTTCATCTCCCCCTTTTTTTTCTAGTAAATTTGTTGCCAACTGCTCCAAATAAGAAGTCCAACACTCTGAACAGTAGTTCCCCGAAGGAGGAGCGCAACCAGTTTCCTATTTTTTTTGGTAAGAGCTCACTTTTGCAGTTCTTAGCTCTCAGTCTTTTATATGCACTCTGGATTGCTTCTCCATTTCCACTCATTTTCCAATAGATGTGAGGCTAAAGATTGGGCTTCCATCTATGTCAAATGTTTTGATAAGCAGAGGAAGTCAAAGCAAAGGAATATATTGCAGCTTACAGACCTTCCGTAAATATTAGGAAGTGGAAAACTGATCACATCTTGTCCTCTTCTCAAAGTGTGTTCCTCCTGAAGGTCTGATAAACAAAAAAAATTAAAGACCAAGAGCAAAAGCAGTGATATAGAGTCCTTTAAGTCAAAATTGGTATTTTTGTGGGGATCTAATTGGCAGGTGATTGAAAGCTCCTTTTACCTGTTAAAAAAGGACCGCAGGATTTTGGAATACAGCACAATATATTATCATCATAAATTTTTATTTTCGCTAAGGCCATATTAAACTCAGTTTCTGGTTTGAGTATAATACTGAGTATGAATTAATTTTGTGTCTGCTTCAAGGTATTTGTGCACTATGTATTATAATGCAGACAAGTATCTGGACCTTTACTGTAGTGGGCTAAAATATAACAGTTTCTGCAACTGGATGCTGTCTACTATAGATTGCTGGTATTTGCTCACACTGTAAAGGGTGACTGAATTTGAGGCATGTCATTTTTATGATCCACAGTTATGCAAGACGAAACAAGAAACAGCTGGAAAAAGCCTGAGCATTCTCACCAAGTATTTCTGTTGGGTTTTGGTGTTTTTTTGTATTTACAATTGCCTGTGCTTGTGGGGATTGAATGATGGCTTAGAGATACAACATGTTTTTTGGGTTTTATATGATCTTGATGGCGTTTTGGATTTTGTATGGTAATGGGCGTGTAGGATAACATTCCTGTGTTCTTTGCTTAGAATGGTATGTCTAATAAAGCTTGACTGTGTGTTGTATTCTGCTGTTTTGCCTGCACTGTGATACACGTGTACTGTTGGGTTGAAGTAAGTTTCTGTCATGGTTCAACTGTTTCTTTACTACATACAAAGCATCAATACATTCTGTTATTAAAGTTACTGAACATAAAACAGTAAAGCTTTTGGCAGCCTATTTTACTGAAAAGTATTTGAATTATTTAAGGCCTGGAAATAAGTCTAGGGTGTTCCCTGAAGATTTTTACTCATAGTATGAATCCGCCAAACCCTAGAACAACTAATCTATGCAAGTAAATGCATGTGATTCACTATGTTTTCTCAGAGGAAACTGAAAGGTTCTTGGTTGTGTCAGTAATAGTGAATTTTCTGGTAGAGCAGATTTTGGAAGGGAGAGGTGAGTGAAAGGGAAACTTGAAGGTTGGTGGAAGAAAGGGTTGGGGAACAGAAGTGGATAGAGTCACTGTAGCTGGATGGGTCAGGTAAGAAAAGTGACCTTGGAAGGACCAGTGCATTTCAGTGGAAAGTCTGAAGACCCCACAGGTTCTTCTTTATCTGGCTTGCACTAGCCTGCCCTGTGCAGCCACCTGCTACCATTCTGTTTTTCAGCCTGTACCTTTCAGGCTGTTGGGATGGGCTAAAGTCCTGTACTTTTGTGCAGTTTCAGTACAGGGGGAGGAACGAATAGGGCCAAAACTGACTGCTGACTTCTGCACATTCATTCAGCTCTACTGTAACCCAAATTATTACCTAAATTTTTCACGTTTTTTGTCTGAATCACTTTTACCTGGCTTTGTAACATCAAGAAGGCCATCTGACTAGCTTCACATTTCCATTTGTGTTCAGATCTCAACTTTCTCAATTCTGCTACTTCGTGAAGGAAAAGTGCTCTCCTTTTGATCCCTCATAACTGATGATATAGTGGCTCCCGTTCTGTTTCTTGCATCCTGTGGAGCCATTTTGTCAGTTCTGATTTTGTATATAAGTCACTCCAGGGTGATCTGATAGAGTTTATCCAGGTTTGGGAATTCTGGCACGGATTTGCTTTTTGAATTTGTTCCAATGCCCAGGAATGCACTTCAGGTACCTCAGGTTCATCTTCCAGTGTTTCATGTTCTCACTTGCAGCCTCCTCCTTAGAATGGTAAAAAAACTAAGAGCAGCACTAAAGCACCTGCATCTCAGACGCTTTATGCACTTATTCTTCATGTTCAATCCTTTGTTATTCTGTGAGTTACAAGTGATTTCTTGATAATTGCTCGGTGTTTTCTGGTAGAATAACTTCTAATAACTTTTTAATTTATTTCACTTTTTACAAATACTTCACTTGAAACAACTCTAATTGAATTTGAGTACTATCTCCTATCACAGAAATGGCAATGTTATCACTAAATATATAGGAAACAAACCTTGATTTCAGGTAAGCTTTTGCTCCTTTTGGAATTCAAAGAGAGAATACCATTTGTTGTGGTGTTTTTGTAATCATAAAAAGACAGATGTGTATGGAAAGTATCCTGGATTTTCAGGAAGGCAGAATTAAATCTCCCAGTAAATTTAATACAAACTTCATAGAACTTTGAAATTTCAATGTAATATCGATATGACAGAAAACTGGTAAACTGCAGTGTAGTCTCCAACCTTGTTTTTCTTGGTACTTCTAGAACCACCCGCTATCCCTTCTTTGTGCATGACTCCTATGGACAGAGGACTCTGTAGAGCCAAAGAGTTAAGATTTTTCTACAACTACTCAACTGGAAGATGTCACCCATTTACCTACAGTGGTTGTGGTGGGAATGAAAATAATTTCATCTCCAGAAAGTCATGTTTGAGGAGCTGCAAGAAAGGTATGGAAAGGGACACTGCCACAGATTATCATAAGAGGTAAATATTATGCAGGTTGAAACATTCTTGCAACTTTTAGTATTAAGTATTAGCCTGATAAAATGTAGTTGTTGAAAGTCTTGAAAAGTGAAAATGGAAATCAGGAGAGAGACAGAGCTACAGAGAAAAAGATGGACAGTAAAATACAGTGTGCGAGAACAGAGAGAAGGCTGCTTTGCATTGGTCAGGCATATGAACACTTTACGTAAGAAAATGTTCTTGGATGTGTTAGTCATACAGTATCTAATCTGACATTATTCGTTTTACATTTAGGATTCAATAAAAGAAAAGGTGAAAGAAGACTAATAAAAATCAAGAAGAAAGAAACAGTCAGTAAAGGCTCTGGGCAGGGAAATAATTCCTGAAAGAACACAACTTTTATTTTCATGGAAATGTGAAGTAAACTCCTATTCACCTGTGAATGAAAGCCTTTAGTGTACACCATTTAAATATATTTACTGTACTGGTTATTTTGATTACCGATTACTAAGCTGCTTATATTTTTGTTTTGTACTTGTCATTCATGTTAATAAACGTTACCTTTTACTTTGATAAGGCTTTCAAATTGTAATTTGATTGTATATAATTGTCAGAGCTGAAACAGGACAGAACAGACTGTGGGTGTATAACTCATAATGATTAAAAAGTAGACAGTTCAAATTTACTTTATTATCCCATTATTCTTTTTTGAAATCTGTTTTTGTGCTAAAGAAAGCATAATGCTTGTCAATGAGTAATCACTTGTCAAGCATGATTGTTTCAATCATAGATTAAAAGATAGGTTTGTTGCTATAAGAGGAAATTGACACTGGATTTGTTTTAATCAGATTTATTTTAGGCTATGCAAGCTACTCCTTCAAAGTGCATAGAATTACACTATTGGAAAACAAATGTGGGATCAGAATTAGCCCACAAAAACCATAAAGAGATTGTTAAAGTTGTAAATGTGTGAAGCAATATGACGGGTATTTGCAAAGATTTAATAATATATTTGCCAGGATCATTTTATCCTGGGATTTTTATCCTTGTTACTGATCTAGACTCATGGCTAGCAAGTTAATAATTTCCAGAAATACGTATTAAGTTTTTACAAAAACCAGAAAAAATTCCTTCTGTAGAAATATATGCAGTTGCTTTAGGGACAACACTATGCTTATTCTCCAGTTGACCTTTGAGGGTTTTTTGGTTTGGTTTTGGTGTGTTTTTTTAAGACTGACATGATACAGTGGTACAGTTACTGCTCTTCTCCAAGGCACCTTCCTCTGATCTTGGGTAAATATTTTATAATGAAGTATTTTTAAAGGAAAGGAAAACAACCAACAGATAGTTGGTTTCCTATTGTTTTTAGTAGCACCTTGCTGCCTATGAAACAAAAGATGGGATATTTTTGAAACTCTTCTGTATCTTCTTTGATGTTGTAAATATTTTGTTAATGTATAACATGTCTTCTCTTTATGCTTAAAACTACTAAGGACAGTTACACTCCTGTTTGTGAGAGGTTGTGGGGAAATAAGTACCTGAAATAGATGAGAGGAGCTCAGACACTACAGCAAGGAGCAAGGCCAGCAATGACATAATAATAATAATCTGTTGGACTAAGCTGCTTTTTCCTGTGCACTATGAATTGCACGTGTGATTTCAGAAAACCTATGTTTTATATGCCTGATAAACTTTTCACTAACTCCATAAAGAGGCTAAGCTTTACTGCTGAAAATGAAAGCATTTATGCATTCTAAACATCTGAGTGAGGGAGTAAGTAAAAGTACTTTTATACAGAAATTGTATCCAAAACTCTTTTTTGGTGCCTAAGTCCTTTCATGACTCTCTTAAGCTAGGATTTATTAAGTCTGATTCCAAAAATGCTCATGAAACTGAAATGTACACCAGAAAATACTTATGTAGAGTCTTGTCATATGAAATGTGCGAGCACCACAGACTTAGAATGCAGTAACGATATAAATCAGACAAGTGCAGTTCTGACAGGAAACCTGTAAACTCCATAGACAGCTGAAAACTGGTAACGTCATTTCTCTACACAGAATTAATGTGCGTTGTTATCTCCCAGTTTCAGTTCTGGCTTGATATCTTCCTGTTCTAGTTCATCCTTGTTATCGACCTTACTTTCCAGGCACACACTAGGAGTCAAGTCTGCAGGTGTGAGTTGCCCTGCACAGGAGCAGAGCAGTACGCTAAGTACTTGGACCAACTGGGATTTGTCATGGCAGACAAGCGGAGAGCCCATGGCTAAAACTGTTCCCAGGCCTTTCCACTTGTAGCATAGCAACTGCCTTAGCACAGCAGCCTATGTGGCCTCTGAAAGCATGGGTTGCTTTGGGCACACACATGTGGGAGAGGCAGGACTTACCAGCGGGCCGAGCACCCTGCTAACGCCAGTTACCCTGCTTTTACACTGATGCTGGCTTGTGTCTGCCTGGCTAAGAATGCAGGTGAGTGCACAAACATCCGCACCTTTTCTTGTATCAGTTTTATGGTGAGGGCAGTAAAAATATCTAATCTTCCATTCTTAGTACTAATAATTTCCCGTGGGCTGCCAGTATTAAAACTGAAGTAATTGCTAGATTGTATGGTGTACCTTGGAGTGAAGACAGAGCTGAGGTATGTGCAACTTAGCTTCTCCAGCAGCCCAGTGTAAGGATGTTCTGAGTGTATGATTTCAGATTACAGCAAAAAGAAAGGGTCAAGTGCTGGGTGAGTAACACATTTGCAACAGCCACCTTCTGTCACTGATGGCTAACAGATAGGCGGTACTATCCTATACACCATGTTACAATCCTTTTACAAAGAAATGTGGCATTCCCTAGCATGATTCTGAGGTACTTGAACATGATATGCATTAAACTAAAACATCTTCTAGAGCTTTCACATAAAAGAGAGAGAAACTCGCTCTTTAGCAGCAGAAGCGCAACATTTAGATAACTCCAGTGTTCATATGAATCTGTGTTATTGGTCCCAGTGTTTCTTTAAGGGGGTTTTTTCTTCGGCATCAAGCCCAAATCAAGGTGGTGGGGACAGAGCTGTGACTGAGGCAGTGTCCTCTACCCAGCTGTGACTGCAGCTCTAAACCTGGTGGTATTTCCAGTTGTGATGGGACTCTGATCTGAGCCCTGTAGGGGTTGGGAGGAAGGGGAAGAGGTTTGCCTGTGGTGTTTCTTAAAGCCATCTCACCAAGAACACTAACAAGGATTTGTAAACTCTAAGTTTTATGAGATCATAAACTAAAATTATGAACTTTCTAAAACCAGATATTCTGCATGAGGCAATATAGAAGATAGATATGAAAGAATAGATGCATTTGTATACAGATTGCCTTGTGAGTCCTGTGTCGTTTCATGGCAGTGTCTCTCCTTCAGGCTTCCTCTTGGTCCAGCGACTTGTCCTTGGCTGCCTGGATCCAACACCTTCAAAATCCACCCTGGAAGCTTAGGAAAACTCATCCTTCCTGTCCCTGCAGAAACCTGGCTGTGAGGCTGCTCCCCATTCTTCTAAGTCTCCTGCTTGCTGAGCTCTCTTGCAAACTACCAGGGTGTCCTCAGTGAATGTGCTCAGTTCCTCCCCAGGACTGCTGTAGCTAGAAGAGGTCTAACACACTCTCCCAGCCCCTGATTGCACTATACTAGAGACATTTGGTGGTAACAGTGATTAAACAAGTGATTCATTGAGGGAACTCTTATGTACTTGTTGAGACAGAAAGAGACTTTATAGTTACAGCATCTCAACAGTACCTCTGCTTCAACTGACTAAGAAAACATTACAAAATGATTCATCTGTTATGCTCATGATATGTGCAATGAGACTGAAGACTGGGAAGTTGTAGACTATAAAAAACTGATCTGATTATAATCAGAGATTTGATCTGAGAGTGCATGCTCTTCTTGGTGTGTGTATCCAGTTTGGCCACCATACCAGTTACCCAGCTGTCTTCCTGTCTTGTTTTTGTGTAGCTCTACAGTGCATTGAATTACTTTTTCCCATAAAAAGTCCAAACTGTAGTGTGATCTGATCTTCATCAACTCCACAAGAAGTTTATTTTGTGCCCTTTTCCTTCATTCACTTCTTTTTGTACCTGTGTCTTCAATACCTGCAGAACAACCAAATGCAAGAATAACAAAAAAAATCCATGCACTTCTCAAAAATAATTAAAGGGTGAATGTAGAAGGTGGAATAATTGAGCCATAACACAGGAAGAAGATAAGGTGTCCCTGTCCATAGCAGGGGGTTGAAACTAGATGATCTTTAAGGTCGTCCCTTCCAACTCTAATCATTCTGTGAGTCTATGAATCAGATGGCAGAATAGCGAAGAGGTCAGAAAATGAAGGTATGCTAAGGCGTTGCAGTGACTGTACATTTCCAATTACCTGGAGTGCATTCATCCAGTCATTTCATTCCAGAATCTGCCCTGGTTGGTTTGGAGGGAATATGTATGCACGGTACTGTTAAATTTCTCCTACTTTGTATGATGGGAGCTAACAATCCAAAGCAATTTTGCAGGGGTTTGATGAATTCCCACATATCACCTGACCTGCAGTAACTCAGTATGTGCCCTTAGTCCACACAGACAATGAAGCACAATGTCTGAGAAATAATTTAAAGTCTTTTTAGTCACTCTTTTTCCCGTCACATTTTTACTAGGATGCCCTTTTCCTCCTTTTTATTTTCTGTCCCCTGCTGTTTCTTTCCCATTCATTTGAGTAAGCCTTTCTCCCTGCATCTCTAATCTACTGTTTCAAAACTGATACATTTATTTACATTTTGAGAAAGCCTTTCCTCTTTCTGGATTTTTCTTTCAAACATATTAAAGTGGACATAATCCTTATGTTTTAGTTTTGGTAGCTTTCAGTGCTGTTCTCTTGTACCAGGTGCATGTAAAGTGACATATGCGTTTATGGTTATAACATGTTTAAACATAAACTCCTAATATTTTATTCGTAGGCAATACATTGCCAACATGAGGTGTTTATGCTGTAATCTCTCGAGAACCTGTAGCAATGCCACATTGCAAGTCACTTGTCAAGGATTTTTTCAACGTGACTGTTTTGTCCCTGACCACGCGTGACAGAGTCAGCCCGACTGGAGAGGAGCCCGACAGACGGATCAGGTA